CTTTGCTCTACGGATGCTAGAAACAATTAAGAGACTCAATTGTTACCTGTAACTTTCATTCGCCTTTCAATTGTTTGACGAATTGTGGCTTCCTGAAATGCAGACAATGGCCGTGACTTTTGCTGAAATTTCCCGCGGACTTAGTTCATCAAATATGAACTAATTTTCTCATTCTAGTCAAGAGACGACGGATGTTTTGGGTAGCCTAAAAATTGTAAGATCGTTTTAATTTAATCTTTCCCTTTTATTTATTGATATCCACTTATTCCTTGTTTGCTATGCTTATGATTATTTAATTAATTGATTATTTTGGATCCGGATAATTAATTGATTTGGTAACCTACTGTCAATTAAAGCATTAAATCCGTAATTGTCCTGAAATAGTGACAACTGGCACGATTAGATTCGTGTCAGGGGGATACGACGGCTAATCTAAAATAACCCTGGTAGTCCGTTATTTGGTTAGAATAGGGCTCCTCTAATATGTAAGGCAATTGGGGAATTAAATCTTACGGACGTACCTAGAATTATTCCTTAATTAGAGCAGTGATTAACGGGCGTACCTTAATCATCGACACAGTAAGGAGGAGTTGACTGCTATCGCTTGTTTGGTAGTTATAACCTATTTATTGATAAACAATTGGGATTGCCTTTGCTTCGATGATCAATTAGGTGAACCATTGCTGAAGTCATTTCTTGGCTAGACTTTTAATTAATATTATCTTAATTTTGGTGAATTGCCATTTGACTTTTAGTTGCCTACTTTATTTTATTTTTAAGTGCTTCCTTGTTTTAATTGATTTGGGCCTTTAATTATTGTTACTCTGAGTTCAGTGAATTATTGTTTAATTTCTAGTCAGTTATTTATTTTCATTTTTATTTTCTTATTTGAATTTATTTGATTGTTATCATTCCTACAAAATCACCCCCTGTGTTGTTTTGAATTTCTTAAGAAACAAGTATACCCAATCCCAGTGGATACGACCCTACTTGCCATGTCTACGAATTCATAATTATTTGTGAAAAGAAATAACCATTCCATTCGGGTATATCGGACCAAGCAAACTCTTCGGGAACAGGGTGAATCAAGTAATCCATTGCACACCTAAAGTCCCTGCTCTAGTACTTGGAATTGAGTTTGGTCATTTTAACTGGCAATTAGGTTTAATTTTATTATTGTACAGGTTTCGACACCCTGTCAACAAGCAATCTCGCAAACGCCAGATTGCGAGTAGATAATAAATATACATGTGACCATCTAGTTGATACATCAATTAGCACAATAAAATATCGAAATAGTCCACATGGTGGATCTACAGGTCTACATATATCACCATGAATTCGTTCTAGAAATGTAGGGGATTCAATCTCAACTTTAACTTGTGATGGTCTAATAATTAATTTTCCTTGAGAGCAAGCAACACAGGAGAATTCATTTGCTTTTAATATCTTTTGATTTTTCAATGAGTGGCCATGTGAATTCTCGATTATTCGTCTCATCATTATAGATCCAGGATGTCCGAGACGATCATGCCAAATTATAAAATCATTAGGATGAGTAGACTTCTGGTCTACTAGGTGATGAATTTCAATTGCATTAATTTGTGCATAATATAAGCCAGAAGAAAAAGAAGATAATTTTTCTACTACGTATTTTTTTCCAGAAATGATATTTGTGATTAATAAAAATTCACCATTTGTCTCAATCATTGTCTCGATATGATATCCATTTTCGCAAATATCTTTAAAGCTTAATAAGTTTTTCCGAGACTTGGGAGAGAATAGTGCATTATTTACAATAATTTTAGTCCCTTAAGAGAAAAATAAAGTGGCTCTTCCGGAGTCTTCAATCAATTTTGCACTACCACTAATGGTATTAACATTTGTTTCTCCCATTTTCAAACAAGAAAAATATTTTTTATTTTTCAATATGGTGTGCGTAGTAGCACTATCAATGAGACAAATATCATCATCACCATTATTTAATCCCAAATATTTGACATCAATTTCTTATTCAGGAAGAAAATTTCAAACAAAAATAAATATTCAATGAAAAAAAATTACATAAAAGATATAAAACATCATAAAAATATCTAAATAATCATGAGATATTTGTTGACATTTTCAGGATGCTCAAAAAAATCAGCTACATCGAGGTGTGTCATATCAGCATCATCAGCATCATTATAATTATTCTTTGGGTAAACAACAAAAAAGCCCCTTGTGGTTAAGCAATCATACATAAAAGCCCCCTGTGATTTCATATCATACCAGTCGATACCCCGTGATTTGAATTAACTTGAAAAGTGGACGGAAATCGGCAAAACAGACGAAACTGAGTGAATAGACGAAAATACCCTTTTGATATAAGCGAAAATTGCAGAAGTAATTTTGCACTTTCGTTCTATCGAAACCAACGAAGAGAGAGAGAAAGAAATAGGAAACCCTAGAGAGAGATAGAGCAGCCCCTTTTGTAGCCAATTTTCAGCAAAAATTTCGATTGTTATTTCAATCAAATATCAAGATCGATGGAGAATACGAGGAAGTGAAGATTTGCGGTAAAAAATCGAAGAAAAATGGGTTAGTATATCATCTCTCATCTATTTCGATTCGGGTTTTGGGGTATGTTGTACAAGAAAAATTGTTATTTACTGATTTCAGATTAAATTGGGAGGCATTATTTAACAAAGATAGCTTTTTTGATGTATTTACGAATGTTGTTAATGAAGATAAAGGTTTTTGACGTATGCCCAGCAAACCTAGTTGCATAGATAGATAGTTTAAGCGTTCCTTTCAAATTGGTAAAGTTTTGATAATTTTTGAAAGCTTAAAAAGAGACAGCTTTATAGAAGAGGTCCCTCCAAAAACGCGTTTAGCAGCTTTGGTTCCAATGCCTCAGTTGTTTGGGATGATAAGGCTACGTGTTTCAGGTCCTAATCTGGTTATCCCTTGTTTTTGGTCAGACTCAATTGTTGAGTCTGACAGTCCGTCTTTTTGGCTTGAAGTTATACTATCAAAGTGCAGTATTACTTCTATTGATCAATTACTACTGTTAAATGCCATGATTAGTCAAGCATGCCAGTTTCTGTAATCTGTCATTATCTTAATATGGCTTATATCGAGACATGTTGTGGTCCAATGTGGTCCCCAATTGTTTGTTCTGATTGTATTATGTTAGTTTTTTGTATACTTGTGAAAGACTCTGAGAACTTTATTGCTTGTCATGGTATCACAGAGGAGAAATCCAAGGACAAAGTTGAGATACACATGCATTTTGGTGGGAGATTTAGAGAAAAACCAAGGCTCCACTACACAGGAACCCACATGGCTATTTTCAAAGACAGAATTGAAGATCAGTTGTCGATAGTGAGCCTGTGCAGAATGTTTAAAAAAGTAGATGAAAGAGCAAATAAAGTAACGTTTTGGTTTTGTGTCCCAGATGTTGATTTAGAAGGTGCTCTACACCCAATTAGGGACAATAATGATATTAATTTAATGAAGCAGTGCTACTGGAACTTGCCAATGGAAAGGCTAATTTATGCTTGTAGTGGGGATGAGCCATTTGAAAAGGAGCCAGAAGATGGTGGGGTCAGTAATGGAATAAAAAATGAAGGCCCTGATACAACCTATGGACATGAAAATAGTGGGGTCACTAACACTACGGGGACAGGTGCATGTGAAGATGATGAAGAGCCAGAATGGTTAAAAGATGGGTTGGAAACAATAGAAGATGAAGACATCTTTAGCCCCAAGAAAGATACTGCTGGACCCAGCAACTATAACAAAAAAGGTGGGGCAAGGGCAGATGGAGACATAAAAAAATTGCCAGTGCATATATTCTCATTTGGTGGAAAGACAGATGAAAAAAGTTCTCCTAAAAGGGGTTCTGTGAGAAAGAAAAGGGCCAGCAAAACTTCACAATCTAGAGGGCCAGATGTGATTCGGCAAATTGACCCCCTGTTTCATCTCAAAGGCCATCAGATGCTGAAGATGTAAGCATTGAAAAAGGACTTGTATCATCTCAAGGGCCATTAGAAGATGAAGCTGCAAACATCAAAAAATCTTCTGCAACATTTAGAGAATCAGATTTGAGAGAAGAAGATGAAAGGGTAGGGAATACTGAGGTGACTGAAGAGGATTGGCAAGAACCTGTGGTTCCAAATGAAGATTTGCTGGACAAATTTAGATCTGGTAGTGGAGAAGAAGATTACTGCCTTGACTTCAATCCTGAAGTTGAGTTTGGGAAGCCACACTTTGAGTTGAAAGTGGGGCAGAAGTTTACTAATTTTAGAGTGTTTAGATCTGTGTTGTGTGAATGGCTAGTAAGAGAGGGTTATGAAGTTACTTGGGTGAAAAACTACTCCAAAAAAATTATTGCCATCTGTGCAAAAGGTTGTAGTTGGAGGATTCGGGCAACACCAATTCAAAATGAATCGATCTTCCAAATAAAGTCACTGAAGGATGAGCATGTATGTGCTCGAGAATATCAAAATAAGCATGCAATAGCCTCATATCTGAGCAACAAATATCAAGAGAAGATCAGGGATAATCCAAAAGTTGATTTGATGGGGTTGAAGAATGACATCAGAAGAGATTTAATGATTAATGTGTTAATTGCTAAGGTTGGTAGAGCTAAACGTAAGGCAAAGGATATGATGCTAGGCACGGACATGGAGCAGTATCAAAAACTCTGGAGTTATACAGCCACAGTCCGAGACACAAATGCTGGAAGTACTGTAAAAATGCAGATTGACAAGCCTCCTGATGGTTCAAGGGGTACATTTCAAAGGTTATATTATTGCTTATATGCCTGTAAGAAGGGTTTTCTTGATGGTTGTAGACCAATAATTGGTCTAGATGGTTGTTTCCTTAAGACAGCATTTGGTGGACAATTATTATCCGCACTTGGCAGAGATGGCAATGACAACATGGTTCCAATAGCATTTGCAGTGGTAGAGGTAGAGCGGTATGACTCCTAGAAATGGTTTTTGGAGTTGCTAATGGCTGATTTGGGCATGGGAAGAGATAACATTCCTTGGACCTTTATCTCAGATAGACAGAAAGGGCTTGTGCATGCTGTGAATGAACTGTTTCCAAATTCAGAGCATAGATTTTGCTTCAGGCACATGTACCAGAATTTTAACCAAAAGTTCAAAGGAAAGGAAATGAAAGACATGTTTTGGGCTGCCGCAAGCGCTGGCAATGAAAGGGAATGGAAAATGGCAATGATTGAACTAGAAAAGACAAACAAAGAAGCTGCTGAATGGTTGAGCAAAATTCCACCAGCCCTTTGGAGTAGATCACATTTTACAGGTTATAGTAAATGTGACATTCTGGTAAACAACCTAAATGAGTCATTCAACAACTATATATTAGAAACAAGAGAGTTACCTATCATTGGGATGCTTGAATGGATAAGGAGGAGATTGATGCAGAGAATTCAAACAAAGAGATCTGGAATGCAAAAGTTTCAAGGAGAGATCTGTCCTAATATAGCAGAAAAGATCGACAAGAATCAGAAGTTGAGTAGGACATTTGTTGCGACCTGGGACGATGGTCACAAGTATGAGGTCGACTGTGGTGTGAGAAAATGTGTGGTAGTAGACTTGCGTGAGTGGACATGTACCTGTGGATATTTTCAATTAACAGGTTATCCTTGTGCCCATGCATGTGCGGCGATAGGAGTGTGTAGATTACCTATTAAAAATTATGTGCATGCTTGCTACACTAGAGCAGAATATCTGAAAACATATGCATATACTATCACACCTGTTCCAAGTGATATTTACTGGATAATAGCTGAAGAAGAGTCCATAAACCCCCCTGCGGTTAGGAGAATGCCTGGTAGACCAAAGAAACTACGCCGGAGAGCACAAGATGAGCCTAAGAAGGGTCAAGTATCAACTAGAAAGGGGCTTGTGGTACATTGCAAGAGATGTTTTCAGCCAAGGCATAACTCACGGACGTGCAAGAATCCCATTCACCCTAACTCCAAATTTTATAAGGTAATTTTCCTTGTACACTTAAATGTCATTTGTATAGCATCTGTATGTATTAATAATGTTAAATATCATTCTTATAGGCACCTGAAGCAAGCGCAGCTGAACCAATTGCTGAGTCGTCCACTCAACCACAGTCAACTAGTAAAGGAGCTCCTACTGCACAAAATACCACAATGACTAGCAAACAGGCTAGGAAGGTGTACACTCAACCAAGCTTTTACATTGATTTAATGAGTTTCATAAAAACAAATGGAGTTCTGATATACATCTAAGTTCTCTTTATATATGTAATTGCAGCCTGTGCATGGTATGAATATGAGTGGGAGTAACAGTGCTGATGCCACCACTGCAACAGCAACCACAGCCACAGCTCCAACTATTACTGATGTCTTGCGCAAGTTAAGGCCAAAGAGATCAAAAGCTATCCAACCTTAATTACCTGCCTAATAGTTGTCTAGCTGTAGTTAGACCTTCATTTTGGAATATTACATGCAGTTGCAATGATATCTGCAACTATCTGGAATGTACAATGATTGGTTGTCGATGAAAATGTAATGTCTACTGATCTGCATACAGTTAGCTTATGTATTTACTATTTTTGTGGTGACTGGATGAAGTTCTTGGGTACCAGATTTTGGTTGTGTGAAATGGCAACCAGATTTTGTAGTTACTGAATGATTCTGGAAACAGTGATGGAATCTATGTTCTGCATACATTTGGCTTATGTATTTACTATTTTTGTGGTGACTGAATGAAGTTCAACAGTGCCAGATTTTGGTTCCCTGAAATGGCAACCAAATTTTGTAGTTACTGAATAATCTGGAAACAGATTTTGTAGTTACACTCTTTGTGGTGACTGCATGAAGTTCTTGAGTACCAGATTTTGGTTGTGTGAAATAGCAAGCTGATTTTGTAGTCACTGAATGATTCTGGAAACAGTGATGGAATCTATGTTCTGCATACACTTAGCTTATGTATTTACTATTTTTGTGGTGACTGAATGAAGTTCTTGGGTACCAGATTTTGGTTCCCTGAAATGGCAACCAAATTTTGTAGTTACTGAATAATCTGGAAACAGATTTTGTAGTTACACTCTTTGTTCTGGAAATAGTTCTGAATCTATGTTCTTGGCAAGTTGAGATGAATGTTATGTAGAATGGCAACTGGCAACTGGCAACTAGATTCAATTTTGTCTTCTTTTGTTTGTCTTCTATATCACTTGCTGTCCAATCTTCTTTTGTTTGTTTTCTGTATCGGTTGTTGTCCAATTTTTAGCAGGTATATTTCTTACCCGTAGTGGAAACACCAGAACAAATCTGACCATTATTCGGTTGGGATAGACACCAAACAAAACTCCATAACTAGTTGAGCTAAGACTACCTGCTGAAATGCAGCTAGTTGAGTTAAGACTACTAATGTGCAAACAAAACTCCAACTAGTTTATTTCGTTCATTTTTTGGTGTTTTCAAAATGCAGATTACCAAAACAAAACTACAAAATGTCGATTACCAATTTTGTTCAATTTTATTGCAACAAAACTCCATACATCACCAGCAGCCTACCAACTAGCAATTTGATAGATGAAGATCTACATCATCAACAACAACCTACCATTATCTTATCTGGTAGACATCAACAACAGTAAAATAGAAAAGATAGATACCATAACACAACCTCCAACTAGCAATTTCAAATTCTTCATTTCATTGTCCAAATTTTCCAGTTTCGAGAGCACGCCACCCAAATACGCATTTTCTTCAACAGGTTGGCTCACTACGGGAACAGGTGCATCTCGATTTGGCTCGTCTCTGTAAATTGGGTTACACCATGAAAAGAACCAACATTCATCTTTTTCACACACAAAATATAACAATCCTTTCGATGGCTTTTCCGACTCAACAATCTTTAGCTTTGCCTTCCTTCGACAATTACATACCTTGTACTAGTATCGAAGACCTCTGCCTCCATTTCCCCCACTTGTTGGTCGAGAGCTTGAGGAAGACATCTTGGGGTACTTTCTCCACTTTTCCTTCAGAATTAGCAGACCCAATATATACAAATACAGTTCACATTTTTACCTTAAGGCTTTGTTTCCTGCAATTCCTTTGCTAGCCTGCAAGCTCTGCTTGATTGAACTGCCTGGACAGATTTCGAATGCTGCCTTCAATTTTCAATTTTGGCCGAACATGAAGACTCGGAAGACTTGGAAGCTGGCCTCTTATTATTAAAGAGTGAAGGGTAAAGTAGGCATATCAGATGAAAGTTGGTGGTGGAAATCTATTTTTCGCATATGCACGCGCCTTTGCAGTTCGTTTAAGACACACGCCGAATATTTGACGATTTCCGTCCACTTTTCAGGTTAATTCAGACCACGGGGTATCGACTGGTATGATATGAAACTACATGGGGCTTTTATGTATGATTGCTTAATCACAGGGGGCTTTTTTGTTATTTACTCTTATTCTTTTGATTAATGAAATTTGTCTCAATGCCTTTCTCTTTCTTGTTCAATGATGCTTGATAGAGATCGACAAGATGTTCGGCCGTACGACAGGTACGAGACCAATGACCTTCCATACCACACCAATAGCATTTTTCTTTATAAACTTTCTTTCCTCCATTTTTCTGATCGTAGTTATTTTTCCTTTTTTGGGAAACATTTTGTTGTTTGCCACGGTTAAAATTTTCACGAGGCACAAATTTAATACGATCACGGCCTCTTCCACAGCCTCTTCCACGGCCACGTCCACGACCTCGACCAGAATTTTGAAATTGAGTCGCATTCGCTTCAGGGAATGGACTTGTACCAGTTGGTCGGGACTTATGATTTTTCAGCAATAATTCATTGTTTTGTTCAGCCAAGAGAAGACATACGATAAGTTCAGAATATTTTTTAAATCCCTTCTCTCGATATTGCTGTTGCAGGAGCATGTTAGGACATGAAAAGTAAAAAATGTTTTCTCTAACATATCTTCATCAGTAACTTTTTTGCCACATAATGATAATTGAGAAGTGATTCTGAACATGACTGAATTATATTCATTGACAGATTTAAAATCTTGCAGCTGTAAGTGAAGTCAATCAAATCGGGCTTTTGGAAGAACGACCAACTTCAGGTGGTCGAATCTTTCTTTCAAATCTTGCCAAAGGACAAGAGAATCTTTGACAGTAAGATACTCTATTTTTAATCCTTCATCTAAATGATGACGAAGGAAAATCATAGCTTTGGCACGGTTTTGGTTTGAGAATTCATGTTTTTCAACAATAATGTTACCAAGACCCATTACATCAAGATGAATTTCAACATCTAATACCCATAATAAATAATTTTTTCCAGAAATATCAAGAGGTACGAACTCTTGTTTTGTAAAATTAGCCATAAGAAATTAAAATAAGTTTTTGAGTTAGAAATTTACCTCAAAAGTCACTTGAAGAAATACAAGCAGAATTTCGGCAAAATCTTGTGTTTCACTTTTGTTCAAAGTAGCGCCTCCGTTTTCACCTTTTGCTCCAAAGTAGATACTCGTGCTGATAACGTGTTATAAAACTAATAAAATAAACTACTATAATATCAAGTGAAATATTGGAGAAAGAAGTAGAGAAATGGAGAGTGGTATTCTTGTATTCCAACAAAATACAAAAGTGCTCCCAAAGGGTGTCAATGTACCTCTATATAGGTACTACAAGATCAAAGGTGCATTAGTCCTATTAAACATCCACTACTACAATAATATGAAGAAACTTATGAAACAGTTTTTTCACTACATAAATAGATTTATGGATTGTAATTTCTATACATAATGTTGCCATAAAATCATGAATTAATCCCCTTGGGAATACAAAAGGACATCCACATTTTTTTTGTTATTTCATAACATTTTTTTTAATAAGTACCCATATCCGTTAGGTACTTTTATTTTATTAAGACATTTAAAATTCACCTAACCTATCATATATACACATACTAACAGTTATTACTTTCCATTGCATTTAATATTTTTCTCATCTAATCTTACCAATCATTTCTTGTATTTATTTACTCTTCTTAATTAATCATACATCCCCAACAATACTCCCTCATATTTACATACTTTCCTTAATTAATTTTACATTTTCAAAATATATTTTAACACCACAAATATATCTTAATGGTTGCACAATACAAAAAAAAAATGCACAAGGACATAGCACGCTAGACTCCTAAGGCATGAATTATCAAAAACACTAACCTTCCCTTGCATTTAATACTTTTCCCATCAATTTTACTGATCTTCTATCGTATTTATTTACTTTTTTAAATCGATTTTACATTTTCAAAAACACTCCGAATATTTATGTACTTCCCTTAATTAATATTACATTTCAAAAAATACACTATCTTGGCATTACAAATAGGTTGCCCAATACAGACAAAAAAAAACCAAAAAAAAATAGCACAAGGACATAGCACGCTCGACTCCTGAGACATGAATATCCCACGTACAATTTTGAAGGTTTAATCTATTGATTAAAATCCTCACCTTGCGGCGGGATTCATGATCTCGGAGAAAACATTGTCAGACTTTAACATGTCACTACTGGCCGTGAATGTCCCGGTCGTAATACTACGGCGGCTCTTCATCCTGGTGGCAGAATCTTTCTCAACTCCCGAGTCTGAGAACACATCCTCGTCGTCCTCAGTCGTAGCTTGCTCATCTCCTCCCAACCCATGCATACGGAAAGCAAATGGACGTCGACCACTCTCATTTTGGCTAATTGATTAGAATATATGTATAAAAAAGAAAAGTCAGACACTTGCGGATCTGACAGAGTGCATGTATAAAACTATGGGTACCGGGCTGAGACAGCCCGGCACCTGACAGAAACTTTTTTTTTAAAAAAACATGTCAGACAGCCCAGCACCTGACACATTTAAAAAAAAAAAAAGATGTCAAGTGTCGGGCTGTGTCAGCCCGGCATCTGTTTCAATTGAGTGAATTGCAATTCACTTTATTTGTTAAACTAGTTGATAAATGCAATTCACTTTAATTAGTTTAGTGAATTAATTAGTTTAATTAATTGAGTGAATTAATTTTAAGAGATTCGATTAAATGCATTTAATTAAGGTGATGAATTAGGTTTAATTTGTTATTTATTAAATATTCATTTATTTGTTATAAATGATTTAATTATTTAATTATAATGCATTATTTGTTGTTATTTAATTACACTTTATTTGTTGTTATTTGTTATTATTCGTTGTTATTTAATTACCCTTTATTTGTTGTTATTTGTTATATTATTTGTTATTATTTCTTATAATTATAGAATCTCACCTGACAGGAAATTTTTTTTTAAAAATCTATCAGGTGTTGGATTGTGTCAGCCCGGTACCTGACCGAATTTTTCTGAAAAATAAAAAAAAAATTAATAAGTCTACCAAACAAAATGTGCCGAGTAACAAAAAATTCTTAGTGAAAACTTCCCACTAGAATTCAAATCACTTGACTTGAAATACAATTATCTAGTATTCATATTCTTTTAATTTTGAATTTTTCTCTTTCATTTATAGCTTCTCATTTTATTCTCAAGAAAATATCGTAAGGCTGAAATTGTGATATGATTAGTAATTATCAATCGTAATTTGTGACATGTTGCATCATGCAAAAGATCAAAACCCTAAACACTAAACGCTAAACCCTAAACCCTAAACCTAAAAACCCTAATCCCTAATCCCTAAAGCCTAAAGCCTAAACCCGAAAACCCTAAACCCTAAAGATCAAAACCCTAAACCCTAAACCCTGAACCTTGAACCCTAAACCCTAAACCCTAAACATTTTAGATTTCGTATTCATTCTCGTGTTGGTACTTATATTGAATTTTTGCATTTTACCAATTGAACATAATGCATACTAATAGAACATCTATTTAAGTTCTGAATTTTTTTCGTAGTTTGTATTGTGAAGATAATTTCATAAATCTCCCATACAAAATAAATCAAAAAACCAAAACAAGAAAAAAAGTTTAATAAAAAGCTGAGTCGACCTGAAGTACTAAATACTTTGAAATTTAAGTTAATTAATTTACATTTCAAAGTTGAAACATAAGAAAAAAAGAAAATAGATTTGTGCAAAATCACTAATTACTCCTATAGGATGTTAAACAACGAAAATGTTTTTCAAACAAAATATACCATTCATTTTGTAATAAGATGTAGTTCTCAAATTGTTGAGAAATAATTTGTTAGAATTTTTATGTAATTTTTAATGTTCACTATAATTTTATAAAACTAAATTTATTGTGCAATATATAAAATAAAGGACCAAAAAAAGAGGAAAAAATGCATAGCGTGACAACGGTGAAATGGCTAAATATAAAAATAACGATAAGCATTCAAATAATAAAAGACTAAATTCCCATATTATAATATTTGATATTTAGCAAACATGTAATGAAGATTGTATATTTTGTCTACCCAGAAGATTCCGATCTAAACCCAAAAGATTGTATATTTTGTCTACCAAGTCATCATAACCGACCATCTCTGTAAGGAACAACATTTGTTTCGGTATAGAAGGATCATATAAAATTGACCATCCTTCATTTATAATTTTTCCACCCTAATATACTTGAATCACCAAGCAATTATCACTTGACATGTTATACCTATTAGAGACGAGTGTTGATAGCATTTTAGAACCTCATTAATATGCTTATTTGAATAATTAATTAATTGAATCAAATATATATAATTTATAACAAATAAATAAATAATTGCGATTCTATAATTATAAGAAATAATAACAAATAATATACTCTCTCCCTTTTTTTATAACTGACGTTTAAGAAATTTGCTCTTAAGTACTTTTATCTGTCGTTTTATTATCCCCATGCAGCATTAATTATTTTTTCACAATTTTACCCTTTTATCTCTCTTTTCATAATTGGTGGGAGTTAGTTTGCATTGCTTTTGGTCTAGTAAAACAGCACCATTTAATACTCTAGTGAGAGAAAACATGAGTGAATTGGACAATTAATGAGGGTACAAAAGGAAAGTAGTGTATAGATTTAAACAATGAAAAACTTTTCTTAATTGGTGTGCAAAACCTTAAACGTCAGTTATAAAAAAAGGGAGGGAGTAACAAATAACAACAACTAAAGTGTAATTAAATAACAACGAATAATAACAAATAGTATAACAAATAACAACAAATAAAGTGTAATTAAATAACAACAAATAATAACAAATAACAACAAATAATGCATTATAATTAAATAATTAAATCATTTATAACAAATAAATGAATATTTAATAAATCTTACTACATATACATATATAAAGCATGAATAGCCTATGAACAGTGGACAATGGACCGGTTATACTGCGATTGTTGTGACTTTGAGGGGCATTTTGGGATTGGATGGCAATGGCTTTGCTGGAAATTCACTTCTGTCCGCGTGGCTCTCTTCGATGGCAACATTTTGACGGTCAGCAATTTCCTCTCATTCTCTTCTTCGTTCTGTTCTGTTCTGTTCTGTTCTTAGCGTTCTTCGTTCTGTTCTGGTGAGTTGAGCTGAATCCAGTACGCGCCCTTTCAGGGTTTTGGGAGCTGCTACTTTTTCCTATTCTTTTGTCGGTCTTGTTTCTTCTCGTTCTTTTCTTCGCCTTGTTTACCAGCTGTGTCTTTCCCGTTCCTCATTCTTCTTCTTAGCTTTCTCCGGGCGGTGTTTTTTCCTTCCCTTGTTTTCCTATTGAATTTTCTATTAGATTGTAAATTAAGATCAGGGATTTTTTTTCATTCATAGATTAAACGTAATAGTTTCTGCAGAATTTAATGAGAAGTTGTTGATTTTTTTGAAGAAAAGGAGAGGCGGGGAATTTTGATGTATGGGGGATATGTGCAGAATAGAGAAAGAGAAGAGTGAGGAGAGTGTTTGGAGGAGGAGGAAGAACTGGGGTTTAAGGGGGCTAGGGTTAGGGTTAGGATTAGGTGGGGTGATGGGGTTGAAAGGTGGAAATATTATTCAACATAGTAGAGTAGAGAAGTTTAAAAATTCCATGGTTTCACGGTCGAAATGAAGCTATGGATGATAAGGGCTACTACATCTGTGATGTTGTGGAATTGCTTGGTTTAGTTAACGGCATTGGGTGAAAGTTTTGGTCCTAGAATTTTGAAGGGATGGCCATCTTGCTTTTCTCAGGATTCTGTTACTGGTTCTGCTTCCGCTTTGGATGTTAAATCTGCCCCTGAAGATGTCCCTGCTCGAGTTCTTCCTCCCAAGAATGAGTATTACTACTTGATTGATTCTGTTTTTGCTCTTTGATTTTTATTTTTGGGCGCTGTAATGAATTTGCTGTTTTGATGGTTGATGTTGATCGCTTTAAAAGATGGGAAGTAGAAGCTCATATTTTGGTGAATGTAAGCGGAAAGGATAGTGGATATGAGGTGGGTGTATTTGTGGTGTTCAGGGTGCTTTATAATGTAGAATCTAAGGGTCTTTGAATTTAGGAAAGTGGGGTTTAATTTCACACACCGATGGATGAAACGACTGACTTGGACTGCTGGTTGATTATTGAAAAGTTGAGAAGCATGCGGCAAGTTCCTGAGAGATTTGGTTGCTCCAAGCACTTGCAGAATTGAGAGTTTGCGGTGGTTGTTGATCTTTTGTTTTGTTTTGAAATGAAGTAATTGGTATAACAAACCTCTTAGGTTGTTTTACTGCATCAGTGGATTTTGCTGCATTCTCTATTTGCAGCGGTTAATCATAAATGTGTTGTTTGTTTTATTTGGAATAAGCATGGATCATTAATTTGTCCCTTGTTGGAATTGTATTGGGTATTTTGACTACTATTTTCCCCCACCTACAATCAGATTTGAAATTTGCACCTTTTGATGTAGGAGTTTACAAGAACAATGGTTATCTAATGGTTTCATGCAACGGAGGCCTTAACCAAATGCAGGCGGCGATTAGTAGATTCTTAATAATGTGGCTTGCATGTTTGAACTGGCTTATGACAGCAATTTTTGATAACCTATACTTTTCCTCCATGTTATTGGGGTACAGATACATGACATGGTCGCAATTGCCAGACATTTGAATGTGACGCTTATAGTTCCTGAGTTGGATAAAACTTCTTTCTGGGCAGATCCAAGGTCTCTTTCCTTGAACAAAATTATGGCTTTGTTCTTTTATTATGATGGAGGGCTATCCTTTTTTCCCCTCCTCTGTACTGGATCTTTGTTGTTTGATGTTGCAGTGAGTTTCAAGACATACTTGACGTTAAAGTTCGATTGAATAATTCTTTCCGCCCTCCAATTTTTCAAACTCATACTCGTTATAATAAAATACCGGATCCAACCTACCTGACGCATAGCGTCAGGGCAGAATACCTAGTAACAAATAAAACCATCACCTTAATTAAATGCAGTTAATCGAATCTCTTAAAATTACTTCACTCAATTAATTAAACTAATTAATCCACTAAACTAATTAAAGTGAATTGCATTTATCAACTAACTTAACAAATAAAGTGAATTGCAATTCACTCAATTGAATGTCAGGTGTAGCCCGACACTTGACATCTTTTTTCAAAAAAAATGTGTCAAATGCCGGGCTGAAACTAACATGTTTTAAAAAAAAAAGGGTTTCTGTCGGGTGCCGGGCTGTCTCAGTCCGATATCCATAGTTTTATACATGGGCTCTATCAGACAGCCCGATACCCATAATTTTATACATGCTCTGTCAGATCCGTAAGTGTCGTTTGACTTTTTTTTTTTACACCTATATTCTAATCAATTAGCCTCTCATTTTCAGCCGCCTCCTGAAGCTGCAACGCGAATTCGAGGCTCCAGACTACATCATTCATTCCGGGTCGTTCAATCCCCTGATCTTTCAAACAGTTGATCGCCGTTTCAGCAAAGCTCCTCAAACACTCAGGAGCAATCTCGCCCTTCATGTGAGGGTCTACAGTTTGGTGGATGATCCCTTTTGCGTAATTCCTCTTGCCCCACCCCGCCAAATTCACCTGCTCCTTGGGCAAGTTGCGAATAATGGCTCCCCGCCCACACAGCACTTCGAGCAAAACCACCCCGAACGAGTACACGTCCGACTTCTCCGTCAACTGCTGTCTCTTGTAATACTCGGGATCTACGTAGCCGAAACTCCCCCTCACCTGCGTGCTGACATGGCTGTGGATTCCACCGCTGGGGCCTAGCTTGGACAGACCGAAATCCGAAACCTTAGCCACCCATTTCTCGTCCAGCAATATGTTGGTTGACTTGACGTCCCGGTGGATGATGTTGTGCTTGGCGCCGGTGTGGAGATAATGCAACCCTCTGGCTGCGCCGATGCAAATCTGAAGCCGTTGCTTCCAAGGGAGGGGTGGATTATCTGTTTTGTAGAGGTGGTCGCGAAGGGTGCCATTGGCCATGTAATCATAAACCAAGATCATCTCTCCCTTCTCGTCACAGTAACCTATCAGGGATACCAGATGAAGATGCCTTAGATTCGACAGCATCTCGATCTCGGTTCGAAATTCGCGGACCCCTTGACTTGACGAAGGATTTAATCGCTTAATAGCAACTGTGATTAGACTATTGTCAATGTACCCTTTGTACACGTTTCCGAATCCTCCGGTTCCGATCACAAACTTAGCATCGAAGTTGGCCGTAGCAAAGATGATCTCCTCCAGGGAAAATCTTCGGCAAAGATCTAGCGGCAGTGACGAAGACCTCGATGCACTTGTTGTCTTTGATGACCTGGACCTGGTTGAAAGTTGGACCCCGGATGACTTTGAAGCACTTTTCTGGTCAAAATCTTTTACCCGTCTCCTTAGCCGCCGGGAAATCAAGAAACCGATGATGAAAACCAAGGCAGACCCTCCGACCACCCCTCCCACGATAGGAAAAAGTACCGGAGATTTTACACCTCTCCCCTTTTTCGGTGACTTGCTGTTTGGCATCGGGGAATTGGGATCCGCCGCCTGATCAGGATTGGTCCCGGCAAGACTGCCGCTGTTGCTCAATTTGAACAATTCCAAACCATTCAAGATTGCATCAGCATACTTCGTCTTGAAGTCGAGATTTGGGTACAGAGCAAGAAACAAGCCTTGCTTGCTCGGGCGACCATCCGGTGGGTGTGGAACGAACACGACGTAGTCTCTGAAAACCGGGATTCCGGGGCCGCCGGTCCAAGTTATAATATCAATCTCTCGCTCAGCTGTTTTGTTACTGATGAATATCCTGAACACCCGTTCGTTCTCTTGTGAAATCAAATCAGGGGTAATCTCGCAAAAATGCAACCTCAGGAGATAATCAAACCCAGAATCAACATAAAACATCCAGCTCAAGTTGAATCGGGTGCTAAGCTCGCCCATCGCCCTTGCGGTAGTATAAACTATCGCTGGCGCAGTGTAATTTGGGGTTTGCGGAGTGTACTTGACAGCAATTTGATTATTGCTCAATGGATTCCCTTGATCTGCGCCCCAGATGAAGTTGTCATCGGGAACCCATCCTCGGAACATCCCACTATCAGCTAATGCAGAAACATCTTTACCTCCGACGTTAAGCCTGTAAAGAGCTTCGAAGGCGGTGTCGTTCTGATCAAGCTCGAACTGAATGTTGGGATCATTCACGTTTTTGAGGGGATTACTGGACATATCATGGTTGCCCATGTAGAGTCCGTCCGGGGTTGAAACAACTTCAATTCCATTAATGAACGCGTAGGACTTCGGAGAGGGCGAAAAGGTAACGTTGAGGAATTGGTTCATAGCCTGAACATTAATGATGAATTCTTTAACAAGGGAGGCAGATGAGGATCCACCGAAAGAAACTGTTAAAAATGCGCTAAAGTTGCTCAGAAGGGTGTAGTTATTAGCCATGACAGCGAAGAAAGATTCAGTTGCGTTGAAGTCGCTGGAGTAGGACGCCGGGTAGAAGTAAAGGCGGACGAACTTTTTTCCGGGGGAGACAGGGAAGGTATAGGAGAAATTAGAACGAATGATACGGGCAGTTAAATAAGGGGCTCCGGAGACCGAAGAGTCTTGCTCGGTGGCTGTGACAGCTGAAGAAATAGTCGCCATGTCGTTAGGGGAGAATTTTGAGCCGGCGTCGCCGTACCAGTTCCGGCCATCGGCTGAGGTTGCGTTTGAGGATGATCCGCAGTTGATCAGGATGTAATCTGTGGGGCTGTAAGGTGGAGTATCGCTGGAAGTGATGATGAACAAGAGATTGAAGAGAAAGGAAAGGTACACAAGAAGAGTAAACATTGGAGCAAAATTAAGAGGGTACCCCAAAACACACAGATTACTCCTACATCGATGGAGATGATCGGTTTAAAGCTTAGGATTTGCAGGATGAGGTGGGAGGAATTATTGGTCCTTGGAAAATGAAGTGAGGATGGCTCCGTCACTGTAAACTCCTGCGTGGACTTGCCAAGTCGGAAAAGTCAAGTCTTTAGACTGATTCAAACTATACTATACTCCCATACTCCAAAGAGTAATTTCTATAATTTCTTTTGGAGGCAGGTAAGGAAAGGGACAAATTTCTGCTTGAAATTATTTCTTGGAAGTTAGCAAAATAGAAAAAGATTCTTGGGTTTATCAGTCTATCACCCTGGTTGGCAGCCGGCTGCCATGAGAAAAGAGTCCAATAGAGAGCTGGGGGGACCATGGTAATTGTGGTCGAGTCTGTGAAGAGAAAGCTGTGGGGTACTTGAGAAAATTCTGTGGATACTAAGACATTAATTTCAATGAGAAGACTAGCAGCAGCAGCAAGATTGCAACTTCATCTTTCAGTATCATTGCTGTACTAGCAGCGGATATGGACCGGTTAATTTGGAGCAACTCTGGCGGCCTTTCTATTAGAGCTTCAGTCATTTTGACTGTGTAATTGTAGTTCCTTCAGCTCAACCGATGTGAGTCGGGCAGTGCAGCAGTCATTTTGACTGCTGCTTTTGAGATCGCAAATAGCCCGTCTGGATACTATTTTCTGGAGTTTCTGTTAAAAAAATATTGTAACGATATGATATGAGGTAAAAAAAGTGATTGAAAGATGCATTATCGCAAAGTGTAAAATTTTTTGGGAAGAAATGGGAATCCAAACAAGGCCGACTATTTTTGCTTTACCTCAAGCCGTGAATTTTGTTTACATGTATAATTGATCAGGCAGAGAATATGAGTGGCATATCCACATAGATTACTTGTTTCGGTCTTATCAATTTGTTAATCAATCAAGCAGGTAAGAAGAGAGTGTACGAGCTTGTCATGGAACGGATGCAGAAGATCCCGGAAGCCGAAGCCCAACAAAAACACGGCTCCCCAGCGGCGCAGCCTATTCCTCAAACTGCCAAATGCTTGATCTAAAGGTAATTATTTTTTAGTTTTTTCTTTGACTTCTATTTTGGATAATTTTCCTGGGATTTTTTGGAGGCTTTTTGACATTTTTCTGGGTTTCAAGTTTTATTTGGTTTAATCTTAGGGAAGGTAAATAAAATTTTTTTTCTTGGGTGACTGTTGGATAGGTTTTATTAAGTGGGTTTGCTTTAGTTTTTTGAATTGACAGTCTTTAGGATTTATAATCTCTATGTTTGACAGCTTAAGGTTATCTCTGAATGGGGTTTTTGGCATAGAAATGTAATTTTTGGTTGAAGTGCTTGCAATTTATGAGCTAATGACTCGTATGATAGACAATTTAATGACAGTTTTGGTATTCATCCCATAAAATTTATCGCACTTCGGGAACTGTAATTTTTATGAAGAGTGGATAGAATTTGAAAATTGATGCTGTAGTTTCTCGTTTCACCCCCATGAAGAGCTTTAAGTGTTGTATTAAGACATAAAGAATTATTGTGGAGCCATGATGTTTGTCCAATCCCAGATATGATTGCCAACTAGCGCGTGCATCAGAACACTTAATGGCTTTAGCTTCTTAAAGCCAATTAGCGCGTACTTCAAACGAAGTCTTAGTTTCGTTGGTGATAATCTGTGGGCTCATGAAAAGACACATGCATTGGACTTTTAGGGAGTGTTTGAACGGCAAATGGAGGAATTGAATGCAAATGTGTTAGCCAATTTATGTAAGTTACAAATATTTTGGGACAACCTAAAAAGCAAAATATGACAGTGTCAATAGAACAGAGGGAATATTAATCAAGGATTTTTCTTCAATCGAATGTGGTTTAATTCAAGCTTATGAGTTTCTTAGTGAATTTCAGTATCTGTTAAAGAGTGTTGCATTGCTTATTTATGTGGTTCTTTTGTGATAAAGCTTATATC